AAAATTATCCTGTATGACCTAGAGCAGACTATACATGTTTTACCTAAAAAAACCCAGTTTCTTGGCTGTTGCAGATCCAACATTTCTTGCAGCATTTGCTGTCCTTGATCCAGCATCACTTAACACTGTTTTGGTTGCAGAGGCACCAGTGCTCAGTTTATTGTAACTTACAATAAAAAAAATAAAAAAAAAAAAAACTACAAAATTCTAGACATACATTGTATGAACTGTTTATGAAAAAAAATCATGCATTAATAAAATAATAACACCATTATCATCATTAACAAAAAAAAAAAGGTACTTTAGTCAACACATTAACACTGTGCAGAGACATTTTAGTATTTCATAAGAAGTATCACATACAGACATACAGTAGGTCAGTGAAGCAACTCAACAACACTTACGTTTGGGAATGAACAATTTTATCATAAAAAAATTTTAAGGTGTCAGATGTCTTTTGATACCTGTTATGGGTCAAAAAAAAAGAATATTCCAAATTTAACTTTCCTTTCATTCAAAAAATTGACCTTAGTTCAAAAGTTTCTAATAATTCCATGATATCATCTTAAATTTAAAAAAAAGAGTAACAGCCATTTGTAATTTTTTTTTTTTAGTGTACACAAAAAAACTGTGTTCCTTGCAAGTTCTGGTATTGATTATGGAATCCCTCTTTCAACTGAGACCAGGCTGTGATACCCAACAATCTTTTAATCTCTGCCATCTGTTTCTCTTTCCTTTCAAGAGCTTGTTTAAGGGTAACAATTTCCTCTTCAATCTACAAAAGTTAAAAGACCAAATAAAATGATGAATTGAAAAAAAATTATGCTAGTTTAATTGTTACGTTAATACAGTTTGATGACATAAATTTCAGGCAAGAGTACCATATAACCCCATACATTAATTATGCATAAAAAAAAGTAGACTTTGTTTTAAAGTTTTGTTGTGAAAGACAAAGTGAAAAAAATAATTAATGTATGGGGTTAATCAATCAATCAATCAATCAATAAAAAAATAACCTTTATTTAAGGAGAAACGCTGATTAACCCAAGGAGTAAAAAAACATGAGGCCCTCACACTACTGAAACATTGACATAAAATAAGAAAAAAATACATA